AAAAAGAAATCCATTATTTTTCCATTCAATTTCATACAAAAATAATGGATTTCTTTTTACTACATCTAATATATATATACATTTAGCATTTCTTGTAACTTTATGTGTATGTATTATTTATTTAAAAAGTTAAGCATTATCTTAAATGTAATATATTTGCGATATTTATACATACTTATGATTTGTTTCATCAATTTATGTCAATATACTTAAAATTTCCATTAACAGGTTTATTAATCTTAAACTTAGACTTATAATGAAATATGTATTACATATGTTTTTATCGTGTTTATGGACGACATAAAAAATACTTAATATAAATTTTATATAAAAGTTAAAACAAAATCAATATTGCGTGTTTAGATATGTATATATTTCTTTTAGCAGAAAATTTATCAATAATTAAGGGACCATTTTTTATTTTTGAAATATTGCTATCATTTTTTGATGAGTAATATGCTTTCACTTTTTTAGACGTGATCGACTAACTGTTACTCTCTCTATCGTTTCTGATCTCAATGAATTATCTGTTTTATATAAGCGAAAGTCGAAAGCGATTAATGACTAACAGTAGAAATTCTTATTCAATTTTCAATCTGCATGAGATAATAATTTAGAAGGATTTTACATATATATCGTTCACATACATTATACATCATTCGTATTACACATATATTCTCGAACATGTGTGTAGTTTCAGTAATGCGTAAAAGTAATGATATATAATTTTAAAATATAATTTTAAAATATAATTTTATATAATAGATGCATCATATTGAATGCAAGATTATTTTAATTTAATTGAGATCAAATTTAATTGATTGATATATATATATATAGATTATATTATAGATTATATAGATTATATTATAGATTTATCTTTTTCTCAAATTTTTGATTTCTTCATGATTCGCATATTTATTTTCTCTCCATTCTCTGTATGTGCATGATATAAAACGATGGTTTTATGCACTCACGTTCACGAATTTGTATGCATATCCTTTCCTGCATACAGAATATATAACGGAGAAGACGGTTTGGTCTTTTGAATTTATTTGAATTTTGTGGATAAAAGAAAATTTATTTAAATTTTACTTAACCTACTTTAAAGAATTCAAATTATAGGCAAGTATAATTTATAAAAATAATTGTAATACGTTTTGTTTTTCATTAAAAAGTATCTAGAAAGATGAATTGGAGAAAAATTTATTTTAAATAAAAATTTATTTCTGATTTTAAATGCAATTATTTAAACAATTAATTAAAAATTTAATTAGATAAACTTATGTCAATTAATAAAAATTATAACTTAATTACAATAAGTAACTAAATAAAATAATTTATAATAATTAGTTAGTTTTATAATTGCTGGAATATGTCAAGATCGTATCTCATATTAAAGATGCATTAAATTAAACTGTTCGTCTAGTTGAAAATATCTCAATCTTATCAGTTATCGTTGCAGTATTGCCTATCTAAGAAGATTTCTATGAACTTCTTATTTAATTAAACTTTTTTAATTCTAAATGTATTATTTATATTTTTATTCACGATAT